AACCGACACCTCGGTTAACCGACCGTCCTAGTCGGCAAATTTCAAATGTCCGCTAGTGATGTGGCGCTACAATATTTGGCTATGTCTTGGCTACTTTAATATTATTTTTACGTGTTTTAGCTGGCAACACTGGATCGACCATGAAAGGGAGCCAGTATTTAAACGAGGCTTAATTTTCTAATTTTTAACGATACAATAGCTACGATTATTATTTTAAAAAAATTTTTGTTAGGCTTAACATGGAGGAAAATTCAACGCGAAGTAGGTTAATAGCGATATACTAATATACTAATATACTAATTACTTGGGATATAATAATATACTACACTAATAATGCATTTTTTCCATACTTTTCGGTTATCCGACTTTTCAATTAACAGACCAACCCCAGTCCCCAATTGAGTCGGATAATCGAGGCTCTACTGTAGTAATATACCTTGTATGTGCTTCTTTCTTAACACAATAATGAACAATATAATACATTTAAAATATAGGAAAGTTAAAGTTGATTTTTACTCGTCCAAGCTAAGGACTCCCAAGGGGTCAGTGGACTTCTGATTAAGAACCCGTCTTAAAAGGACTTTTCACACTAGTCCTCTTGTTTCTAATTTTAGTCAGATCAGTAGCGGACCGGTGTTTATATTTATTAAATAACTCTAGTAAGCTGCCACTTTACCGGAAGTATTTTTGCGCCTTTTCGAGTCGAACATGCACAATGGCAATTTGCGCCAATATCGTCTATAGGTTACTCCAAGATAATATTATAAATAGAAAGCTAGTTAGAGTAGTTGAAACTAAATATGTAGTTATCTAGCAGTTTACAAAGTAAGGATAACAATTGTAATTAGTAGGTAACTATATCGAGAGTAGTTAACTATTGCCGATCTCTACCAATAGAAAAAATCTCCCACTTTTACGTGGGGTACCGCCAGATTGGAGAAAAAAGTTCAATCACTGAAAATGCAAACAAAACAAGAAATTCACAAAAATATTTGTCGCAATGAAGACGCAATGAGTAATTTATGCCCCCAAAAAAGAAGCATAAATTATCCATTGAAGCTGCAATGATTAATTTTTACCCCCAAAATGAGAACTGAGAATATATGATGACTCCATCAAACCAAGATTCGGCTAGTCGCAATGCGTGTTGTAGCTTAATAATAAGGGACAAAACTCGATATATTCAGATCAAATTACTCATGAAAATTTCTGAGGATTCGGCTTGGACTCAAATTCGGGTTCCTCAGAGCGGCAAACTTGAGACGTTCACATCGTCAATCGTCTTTTTTTTTAAAAAAATAGTTCTTATTTTATATGTTGAATTACAGAAAACTTGGAGTAAAATGTAATTAATAATGAATAATTGAAAACTATACTATAAGTTAAAAAAAAGAATAATAATTTTACAATTAAAAATTTTTAATGAAAATAAAATTTAAATGCATATTAATATTTTAAATTTAATTTTACGAATATTATTATTTTCTTTTAACTGTGAATAGCACGTAACGACAACAAAAAATTGTTTTACGTTGTATTATTTAATGTTTGCAACGCCCCTAGTAGCGAGTATAAGCATTAACAATAACAACAGATTCGAAAATGGAATCAGAGGAAGGCTTTAACGAAGGGAAAGGTATAGTGATTAATAAATGTTTATAATTAAATACTATTTACGTTTATAACAAATCTTATATAACGTTTTTAGTGAAGTATGAACAAAACAAATTGAAGAAAAGAAGTAGCATTATAGATCAGCAGATAGAATGCAACATTGATGATAAATCGCCTATCATTCAAGTGTTCCAGAACTTTCAACAGGAATTAGATAAGAGATATGACAAGTATGAAAGACTTGTTAAATGCAGCAGAGATATTACTATTGAAAGCAAGAGAATTATTTTTTTATTGCATAGAATTACAGGGTAAGTATTGTTTTACTATTTCCTGTTATATGATCAAGAGGTTGATGTTAGGTAATGTGTAAGTACAGTACATCACATCACACAAAGTTTTTATCAATATTTACTTTCTGTTTTATTAACATGTTTTATTATAAATATTTCAAATAGTTCAACTTTTTTAAAATTCTAATAAACATTATCTTGTTTATATTTATTTTTTAAAACCGCAATTTAGCGTGATAACCAACACTTGGCACAACGTTCGTTTATTTCAGTTTTTGTTGAAGTTTCAGTGTTGGTTATCACGCTAAATTGCAGTTTTAAAAAAATAAATATAAAGACACAACACGGTTTCGAAATATGGATTATCTTGTTTAATTAGCATCGTTCGGTTATACATTTGGATATTTTCAATTAGACTATTATAGCTTCTTGCCTTTATAATTATTATCATTTTCTGTAATTACTACACAATTAAACTTTTAGGGATTATCACACTGACTCGATCAACCAGAGGAGTTTATTAATTAATCGTATACATCTATATACATGTGCATTATTACCAATCTAAAATGAATTTCGGGTTTTATAATGACCCCTTTTCAGTTAGACATTTCGGTAATTAAAACATTAGATGTATAACAATCTATTAAAAATAGAACTGGTATATAACAAGCACAATTAAGAATTAAAAACAAATTGTAAACACACACAATGTTGTTTTAAAAAAAAAGGGGAACAGTTTCTTAACTTGTAATCATAATTTCAAGCATTTGCTTCTTTTTCATTATTTTGGTGTATCATCCACAAATTTTAACTTCTAGTAATCACGTTTATTCCTTTACATTAACTATTCAGTGCCGGGTGTGAAACTATCACTCATAGTTTCAATGTGATAAGCCCTAAAAGTTTAATTGTGTGGTAACACAAAAATTATAATAGATATTTTCAGATTAATAACATCAAGAGAATTGTACACAAAGTAAGATTAAATAAATTGTTTAATTTTAAACATTAAAGCAAACTTGGAAAAACTTTAAATAGTCAAACAGCATGATAAATGTACAAAATATAAATTGTTTTGTAAAACAATCATGTGTTTTATAAAACAAAATAAGTTAGAATAACTTCATAATAATTTATTTATAAATAAACAAATAATGGTATAAAAATATAACAGTTATTTTGAATGACAAGATGAAAGTTTAAAATGTGTGCAGAAATTAATAATTAATTGTATACATCTATCTTGTAAGAATGATTTTAGTGTTTGGAGAAATTTATTTTAAGATAATATAGTGATTACAGATTTGAACAAAAATAAATAAATAAATAAAATTAATTGTATGATTAATTGAAATTGTATTAAATTCTTATTTAAAGATTTTAAAATTTATATAGGATAAATTCTCATTACTTTAATATGCTTTGAGATTCCATAATGTCTTATATTTTTATTAATGTAACTGTAAAGATACCTTAATGGAATTTACATAATTATAATGGCTTTATAAAATTTGTTTATATTCTAATGAAAACTAACTTAATATTGTATATTTTTATATAAGGGATAAGGAACAGATTCTTCAGGAGAGTGAAAAACGGCTCAAACAGTTACGGAGGAGTACATTAAGAACTGTTGCTAAAGAGTTAGAAAATGAAGATTTATATTTTTACTTAAGGGCATATTCACCTGGTAAATTATTTTAATTCATATCATTTATTTAATATATAAACTAATACATTTTTTAAATGTATATATTGATATATTTATACAAACATTTAACTTAAAAACTTTAAGAAACAAACCCAAAAGAATAAAATATTGCTGCTGAAATTTCAACTAACATTTTCCTAATTTATTTGTATTAAATTAAAATTTATTGCAGAGAATTAATTAGTGTGTCTTGTTTTATTTATTTATTATTATTATGTGATGGTGGAATGTATCCTACATGACATACATACTAGTGCTTAGTGTTACGCCAGACAAAAGTCAAGGCCATAACTACAAAAAACAAATGTTTTGTTTACATATTGTTTATGTATGTATCATGTTTAAGAATTTCTGACTATATGACGTGTTTAGTATGGCAACCTTCTATAGTGTGATGTATGTGCTGTTATTAAGCTGCAATATTTTGAGACTTTTGTGTAGTGTATGTGGTATGATGTCTGTTCAAGTAGGTATTACTGGCACAATAAGTACTTTTTCTATTTTCTGCACTTTATTTCATGGGCAAATTTTGAATGTTTAATAATTTTTTTGGTATATATATTTTATATTTTGTAGTTGTCTGGTACAGCTATGTCTATGATATATGGTCTGTTGTGATGGATCTGTGATAAAATTTGTCTTTAATAAAATTATGATATCATTTGCAAGAGTAAATAGTTCATACTTAATGTCTGTCTATGGAAAGAATCGACTTGAGAGCAATATCACGTGATGTTGCTTCAGTTAAACTAATCAGCACATTCCCTGAAATTGTTAGCACTTTTGCTTAATATGTCAGGCAAAGTGCAAATTTTATTTTATTTTCTCTCACTAGATGGCAGAACAACTTTTCCATTAATTGTGTTAATTTTTTATAGCATGTATTAACTGTAAAGAAATATTCATTTAAAAACAACTATAACAAACTTCCTTATATTCCAACATCAGTATGCAAAGCTTTCGTAACACTGTTTGTAATGACAGTGACATGTTTAACAAATGAGGAAGAAACCAGAAGTAACTTGCCACAACTAAGTGATCAATGGCTGATACTCAAGTTGGTTCTTTCCATAGACAGACTGTAGTTTTTATCAGGGCTTTTGCATGAATAGGAATTTTGCCATAATGCCAATGAGTGTAAAGTAAACCATGAAATTCAAATATAATATACTAATGTTGTGGTCATTAATGGGTGAAAGAGGTCATCAGTGGAAGTTGGTCAACCTGTTCTTTCAGTAAAATGTATGCCAGTGTTTTTCAACTTTTTTTTATTTCATAGTACCCTTGAACCTATAATTAAATTTTCACGGCACACTTAAATTATGATTTAAAAAAGAGTAAAAAGAACAATTGTATTTTCCATAAATTATTTATTGTCACAAAGTAATTATTATAATTTCTAATAAATAGATGATAATTAAAATTCATAAAAAATCTTATTTATTTTTTTCATTATGTCAAGAAATAAACAAAAGTATGTAGTTTTTGTGGAATGTATTAAATATTTTCTTAAATATAAATGTTAGTGTAACTTTGGCCTGTACCTTTAATATTGGACTCCCCTCGTATATGTTTATTTATTACAACAATGAAAAACTTTTATAATCAATTTAAAGAGGTTTTAATTTTGACATGTACACTTATTGTTTCTTGGGCTTCTTTCAAAACTAATTTATTTAATTGCGTTGTTTTGTGACATGTTTACAATCTCTCATAGCACACCAGTTGAAAATCGCTGATGTATGCAGTACTGAATGTACAGGTAACCCCCATATAACACAGTAGTTACGTTCCAAAAAATTGCCGTGTAATGCGAATCCATGTTATGCGAAACAAAGAACTAGTACGAAAAGGAGGGTTAGGTTCCAAAAATTAAAAAAACATGCTACTATATTTTCATAATTAAGATAAATATCTTTATTAAAATATTCTTAAGTGATACATATTAATATAAACAATGTTTTCTTTGTCATCACTAAAAGCACTATTAACCGAGAGCGTTTTATTTTTGGCAAGTTATCGTTATCCTCTGAGCATTTTTCTGCATTATTTTCAGATTCATGCTTTACCTTTTGCAAAAAGTGTATGTAATTTTAGATTGCTTGCTTCTAGTTAAAAGATCTTTATAAATTTCCTTATATGGTGCTAAGCACTTATGGAATAAGGGAAAAACATCTGGCAACACCAGAAGCAGAAGCGTCGAGATCTGGCAAAATTGAAACAATTTTCGCGAAGGACCATGTGTATGGAGACGAGAAAAGAAAATTTACACACTGAAGTACTAATAGTTCACGAAAATAATAATTTTCGTGAACTATTAGTACTTAAGTATGTAAAATTTTATTACATTTCATGTTGTACGAGGGTTTTACCCATTTCTCGAACCGTGTCAGAGTGAATCCTTGCTATAAAAGTACCGTGTTATACGGGGGATGGTACCAATTCTCGAACCGTGTTAGAGTGAATCCGTGCTATAAAAGTACCGTGTTATACGGGGGATGGTACCAATTCTCGAACCGTGTTAGAGCGAATCCCTGCTATAGAAGTGCCGTGTTATACGGGGGTTACCTGTACTATCATTGTCATTTTCATCTGTGTCAGATTGTCAGTAAATTCCTAGTATTTCTATCAAGGTAAAATTGTTTTCGGTCAGATCTATTATAAATTTATTATAAGTAATATTCTTTTTCCACACATACATTTTTATGAGAGTATATTACCTTTAGCACAAACTAAATCAGGTACCTCAGATAAACTTAGTTATATGTAAAATAGAGAAATTTTATTTCAATAGTATGAATTGTTTGCTATTTCATTTATAGTTTGAAAAATAAATACTCCTCAGTATCATATTAATTTTTTTCAATAATTTTTAGGGTTGCAAGAATACGTTGAAGCTGTTACTTTTTATAATTATATCAAGAATGAAAGATTACTTGGACTGGAAGAAATTCAGTCTGATTTAACTTATGATGAAGAGACAGAGGTAACTGAAATATTTTTGGTAATATTATTTTTTTGAGATTAAAAACCATTATTATTATTTAACAGACAATTGATGGAAATCATGAAATAAAAAGATTGAAATTGGTATTAGTTTTGCCACCATTAGAATATATATTAGGAGTTGCAGACTTAACTGGAGAACTGATGAGAAAATGTATAAATTCAGTAGGACAAGGAAATCTTGAGGAACCTTTTAAATTATGTGCCTTTTTGCAAAATATTCACAATGCCTTTGGAATATTAGGAAATATTCCGGGACGAGAAATAAGTCGAAAGATTTTTGTTTTGAGACAAAGTATGAAAAAAGTTGAAAATGCTTGTTACACAATCCAGGTTCGTGGAAGTGAGATTCCAAAGTTTATGCTTAAAGATGTTTTCAACTCTGAAACTGCTACAGAGCAAACATTTGATTAAGAAGATTATCATTTGTGAAATATGAATTCCATTACTTTATGTTTTATTTATTTTCAATTGTTTTACACCAGCTGTTAGCTGTTCTTGATATCTGAATATATTAATAATAATGTATTGTAGTATGAGTAAAGTTTAAATGAAAACTATGGAAAATTTTTCTTTTTTAAAGATTTTTAAAAATCCTTTGTTTATTATTAAAGAGAAATTGCATCATAATTATATAAGTTTTAACAGTTATTTGGGCTGCAATTTTGAAATTGCAGACCTATATATACTCACTGTCATATGTCTATCTTTCATTAATCTTTAGAACAGAATTAGATATTTGAAAATCGAGACCAGATATGGAAAGCTTACAGGCCAAAGGTCCTGATTAACTATATATGAACTTCTGGTCTAGACCAGAAATTCGTATATAGTAGATCATGTGACTTCTGGTCAATTTAAAATTTTTTCCAGTATGGAGTTATATAGATGACTGGCATCATTCAATTCTTATCAGGAGAAGCATGATGTACAGGGGCAAGACCACTTAAATGCAGACCAAATATGGAAACCTTAGAGACTGGAGACTCCTATTAACTATGGGTACATTTGTAAAGTCAAACAAGTTAAATGCATTACTAACGAGTTAGTCATAAAGTACAAATTCCATTCAGTGTGCATGCTTGATGTTGATGATGTTTCAAATGAAACTTTAATGAAATTCACAAGGAAAGAGTTTACTTCATTAAGAAAATGGCACCCGGCAATATTGATATTTCTAAATCTACTGAAGTGTTTAAATTTTGGATTAAAAAGTAAAATGATAGATTGCTTCAGGTAGACAGTTATTTCTAAGGAAAATATTTCGGATATGACTGCAGCACTAGCAACATTCACATCTATTTTGTTGTAAACAAATTGGTCAAAATGTCTAGCAAAAGTAAGAATAACGACGACATCATTCTTGTTTAACTCGTTTGATTTTATGAACTTCTGATCTGAACCAGAAATTACGATTCTTTTAAGTTAAATGATGATTAAAAATTGCAATCTGGCATTATAAAGATGTCACAATAAATGCTTGTTTGAGTATATATATTAAAAATCCAGCAATGAGTTGCTTAACTTTCCTGGTGACATTTGATGATGCCATCTCTTATGATATTTTATTTTAAAAACTTTTTATATTTTTAATTATTAAAAAATGGCAAAAGGCTTAATTTTGAGGATAGGGACGGGTGTTATAAAATTTGTAAATGCTAATGAGTAAAATCCTCATTAAGTACGACCCTACTTTGAGATACAACGCCCTTTATCTCCACCCCGTCAATCTTTAATCACCAAAATTTAATAGCATCAAGTCCCCTAATAAACAATCCTCCCTGACAAAAAGTACAGGAGTAAGACCCTGTACACACTAGGCATTTTTCAACGCGCGTTTAAAAGAACCAAGAGTTCTATGTAGCCGTACACACTCAAAAGCCAAGCGCGCGTTTTGCGAGCGCTTATAGATTTTTGTTAAAACGCACGTTTTGCGAGCGCTTTACGGGCGCTTTGAGATATATGTGCTGCCATGTTACTGTACATGCGATCGTGCGTTTTGCGGGCGTCAGCCGAGCACTTTGAGATATATGTGCTGAAATGGAGAATGATCATTTCGATACTGATCTATTTATTGATGAAATCTAAAAGAGACCAACCATCGTCAAAGGATTTTATAGATATTTTAAAAGAATTAAAAAACTTGAATTTATTTTGTCTTAGTTTTGGATACAACGTCGCAAACATTTCATGCGTCAGTCTATCTCGTAATATTGGGTGCACCCAAAATTCTCTTTGCCTCCGCCGTCGTCTTTTATAGCGACGATAGAGGAGCCACACACAAGCAATCACTTCCACATCCATTTCCAAACCGAGCCAGTGCGCATGCTCCGCTAAACGCTCGTTGAAAAACGCCTAGTGTACAGGGCCTTAAGCTTCAAAGAGGGTGAGTAAAATCATGCCTCCCCTACACACACACACACAGAAAATAATCCCCAAATTTTTTTTTCATTTCTTGATGTTTTAAGGTGCTGAGTCCAAAATTGTAAAATCTGGGGGGGTCAGTTTTGACCAATCACTATAGTTTCCCTCTGTTATATATAACAGAACTGGGAAAGTAAAAAATCTACGAGTTGTGTAACTTACCTGGATGTAATGAGATTTTATTAAAAAAGTAATTTTTATATTAATCATCATAAATAATTCATATCGTGTGTACTCATCAGAGAGAGAATACAATTTTACTACCACACCTTTTATTGAAGAATTCTTTATTCACAAATGTTTTCAACCTATTACCATAGTTCATCATCAGGTTTTTAAATAAGTTTAAACAGATGTTCCACAAATTGGACATTCAGTTTAAATTTTTAAATTTCAAGTGTACTAAATACCCTTGCCAACTGTCAGCAAGAAGGGCAATCAGTTATGATCTAGGCAGGTTTTGTATGGTCTGGAAAAATTAATTCAACATTCATAAATAGTTGAACAAAGATAGTTGGGTCAATCAAAACCCTAAGGATGCCATTTGCAGAAAAAGTTAGTAGTCCATTCTGGCAATTGCAACAAGATAATGCACCAATTCACAATGCAGACTTCACTTATCAGTGGTTACTGGATAATGGCATTCAGGTCATGGATTGGGCTCCCTATTCCCATGATTGGATCCCAAAGAAAATCTATGGAGTCTAATAACTAGCAACATGTATATAGGAGGAAATAATACCACAGTATTGAACAACTCAACGCTATAATTATAATTGCATTGGAAAAAAAATCAATTTAAATGTGCTGCAACATCTTGTTAACTCTATGAAAGATAAGAGTTTACAAGGTTATTGTATTAAAATGGTGTTTCACTCACTATTAAAATGGCACTGGCCTTATGTTTTTGCAACACCATTATTTTTTTAATGAAAAATTTATATTTTCGTTTTCATTTTTAATTTTAAATAAAATATGTAATTCTTTTACATCTCCATTTATTCCTGTCATTAGTTTTTTGTTTAAGTGTGATAAAAATTTATCATTCCAAAAAGTTGTGATGGCCTTATATTTTTGCAATGCACCTTAGTGTTTCTAAAGTAATAACCTTTTAAAATTTCTACTTCCTATCCACTACAAAATACAACCACTCCTTTTTAAATGCCAAATGTCTGTTTCAATTTTTGTGTCACTTTCTTTTAGTAGATCACTAACTGTATTCATCAGCTGTTGCAAGTCACAAATGGAAATTAAGTAATAAATGCTTATGTATTTAAAATAAACACTAAATGAATTAAATAAATTAATTAAAATGAACACTAATATTTTACAACTTTCACATAGTTGAGATGAATTTATTTTAATTCTATTCAAATCAATTCTCCCCTTAGATAACAGGTGCCTTTGTTCAAAGTTATATGTTAGCGCTACCATAAAATAGAATTTACAAATTAAAATAAAAAATTTTTCTTATTTAGTATATAAATACAATACAGTAGAGCATTGATTATCCGACTCAATTGGGGACTTGGGTTGGTCGGATAATGGAAAAGAATGAAAAAAATACATTATTAATATAGTACAGTAGAACCTCGATTATCCGGACTAATTGGGGATGAAGGTAGTCCAGATAAGGAAAAATCCGGATAATCGAAACAAATACTTTAATTTGTCTTTTAATGATAATACAACACGTTTTCTTTTCGATCACATATCGGTAATATTAAAAATAAATACTGTATTTAAATCGTGATCAAATTTTCAAGAAACATGTTTTATTGAATTTGGACTACTACTGATCAGTGCTAACAGACTAGCTATTGTTTAAAAGGCCCTCTGGTGGCTCAAGAATACGGATTTTATAAAATAAAAAGCAGTTGAAACTGCATTTTTATGAATAAAAATTTGACAAACTATTTATCGTTTTATGACGAGTAAAATATTTTCGTCGCATTCTCGGCTTCTAAGTAATGCATAAACCTTCGAGGTGCGAGGCCCTTCGGTCCGCGAGGCATGTGCAATGTGGTGACCCACATTGCCCATGCCTTATGCCGCCCTTGGTTATAGAAATGATGTAATTTGAGTATAAATTATTTATAAATACGTATGTCAAGTTATATTTTTATTACAACACAAAATATATTTAAGAGTTTACGACCACTGTGCCGGGTGAGACGTTGTTGAAACAAAAAATGTTATACATTCCATCACGTACATAAACAGTGTCATAATTCGCCAAGTGCAAATCAGCAAATTCGTAAAATTTTTGTTTATTTTGAACAATCTGGATAATCGAAAATCCAGATAATAGAGGTCCGGATAATCGAGGTTCTACTGTATATTAGTATATCCCATGTAATTAGTATATCGCTATTAACCTACTTTGCGTTGAATTTTCATCGATGTTAAGCATAACAATTTTTTTTTAAATAATAATCGTTGCTATTGTATCGTTAAAAATTATTTTTAAATTATTTTATTGATCACAAAACAAACCACCACTCATAATTAGAAAATTAAGTCTCGTTTAAATACTGGCCTCCCTTTCATGGTCGAGCCAGTGTTGCCAGCTAAAACACACAAAAATTTACCAAAAATAATATCAAAGTAGCCAAGACATACCCAAATATTGTAGTGCCACATCACTAGCAGACATTTGAAATTTGCCGACTAGAACGGTCGGTTAACCGATGTGATGGTTAATCGGGGGTTGGATAATCGATGCTTTACTGTATTTATATGTATGTGTGGGGCACCATCTGTTATGAGATATTATCATAAATAACTATTATTATTATAAAACAGCAAAAAGCTTGAAAGTAGAGATGAGTTTTACAAAAATCTGTAAACGCTAATAGTAAGTAAGTCTGATCCCTCTTGAGAGATGACAAGTCTTCCTTCTATCTCCCCACCCTTTTGACCTTTAACCATTAAAATTTAATAGCATCAATGCTCCTTATATGTGAGTTACCATGCAAAATTTTGTTGATCTTTATCCCTATCTAAAGATATTAAATGTAATGGATGCCAACATGCACGGGTAGTGTGCAAATGTTTTTTACTTTGTTCAGTTCTCAAAATGTGGAGATTTGAAAAAAAACTTGGATAGTTAAAATTGACATGATTCCAATACTTTCCCTTGTTATGTATACATAACAGCAGGGAAAGTAAAAGTGAAAATTAATATTTATGCAAATTATAAACAGTTTATTTACAACAACAGATCACAAAAAGAATAGTCTTGGAATGTAAACAACACACCATCAAACAGACAGATTCATAAAACAATTTGTTCATTCATTTCATTGGGCATATCACTTCAAATATACCAGTATATATATGAAGTACCTAGATAATTAAAAACTTAATTACATTTTTGTGACAAATTTTAATTCAATCAAACTTTTTTAATAAAAAAAAACCCAAAAAACAAAGTAGACTAGAATAACAATAAAAGTTAAAAACAATTGAGGTTATAGAGAACAAAATATTATTATATAATACTGTTAACAATAATTTCATGCATGTTATACACAAACATCAGTAAGGCACATGTTAAAAAAAATAAGTAGGATAAATTTCAGAGTGATATGCTCAATGAGCCATTTTACAGGTTGTATATAAATAAGAGTTTTATTGGACAATATTGTCTTCCGAAACATCTCGTGATGTGTTTTCCTGAAGGATTACAGCAAATTTTGATAAAAAGTGTGTTTTGAACCAAAAAAGTAATTTACAACCAAAGTTGTTGGTTTATGATCAAATCATTCAAAATGTTATCTTTTATCATTTTGCACGAAAATTGGCATATTCAAATAACCACAGAACTTAGTCAGTCTTTGATTTTAATAAATTTCTAAAAACTTCAAGTTGATAAACACTATTGGACAACCTAAAAAATAGAAACAATAGATAAATTTTATTGTTTTAAATTATTGTTTCATACATTCTACTATATTCAATTGAATTATTACCTTCCAAATGCATTAAAAAGTGTTAGTATTTCTGTTCTTGTCAAATGAAATCGATTCTTTTTGACATTACTATCAAACGTTTTTAGTTGGTTTACAGAAAATAATATCTTGAAAGCGGTTCCCAATCCCTGAACCTTTATAACAGAAATGTAAATAATAAACAGTTTTAAACTTAATAAATAATTTCTTTTAATTATATGAATTGATATCTACCTGGAGTTTTCCCCAAAGTCTACACTTATCGCAACCGACACAGTCCATTATGCGAGAGATGTTCCAGAAATGTCTACGAAATTCTTCCTAGAATAAACATGATAAAGGATAATATATTTAAAATTTTAAATGTTCATTTAAATTTTTTAAACCATTATTATTACCTTCATAATCTTTGCTTGCTTTTTATTTCCAGAAAACATAACACTTTCATTAAAATGATCAGGAAATGAGCTAAAATGAGAATATAAATTTGTTTTTAATTTTTATTTATAAATTAAAAACAAAATGTCTTAGTAAGTTAAAAGAAAAATGTACTTTGCTATTTGAAGCATCTCTTTTATTGCTTGTCGAACGCTTTCATCTTCTTCTTCGTTACCAGTATAGAAATACTCTTGTTCTAAAAATGGTGCAGCTTTGGCTATAGCTCTTAACTCAAGAAGATACACAAAATATAAATTTTTTAACCACTGAGGTCCCTCATTATTTGTTAGTTCAGGATCGTAACGTTTTCTAAATTCTTCCACATTGGGTCCCCATTCTCCAGGACTAAAACCATTTTTAGCTGCAATTATTTAAACTTGTTAAATCTGTTATATTTGATTAAATGAAATATCAAATGCAACAGACCTCTCGTGTAGTGCTGGGCACAAAGATGAATGCTGATGCTCGTATGCAATCCTGATATTGCTCTGTAAAATGCTCTTTTTTCTAGACACATGGCTAAATAATATATTTAAATATACATGACAATTGTCCAATGCCAACAGTAATCATCATTATAAATATTTTAAGTTCTATTCTTTAAAAGAAATTATTAAAAAAATATACATATAATTATTTATGTAATTTATGTGGTGCATATTAACAGCCAAAGTGCCAAATGACATCAAAATTTTTCACAGGTTTCAGAATATTACAAATGAATTTATTTTTGTATTTTGGGCTTTCATTATTATAAAACAAAGCTTTCAATTAGATTGTTACATGTTGTGAGATTTATTATTAACTTCTTATGCAAGATAAAATATTAAAAAAATAATAATAAGACAGTGAATGCAAACATTTTTTATATCTGTGCTTTAAACTGAAAAGATTCACTTTAATTCAAGTATAAATAAAAATTTCTAAATGTTTTACTCACGATTTATAACTTCAATCCCTATTTGATAGAAGTAATAATTTACTTTTTGATAATTTTATGGAAAATTTTACAATAGAATAAATATTTTAGAAATACAGTAAAACTTGTTTATTTAATTTTATTCAAAGTAATGAACTGACAACAACAACAAATATACAAAATTCAATATATATTTTATTATAAAATTTATTCAATTTTTAGATATTTATTATTTAAAAATATGCTGCATACAGATTAATGCTTAAGTTTCAATTCTAGGCACCCATTGATTTATCCTTAAACTAGTCAGTTTTAAAAAATTATTTTCTATATGGAAATTTGTTTTTAAGAAATTACAGAAATTCTGATTTAATATCAAAATTTCTATAATTTTTGCTTATTGAACTCACATATTAAATTTTTAAATTCATTTTATACTATAAAACGGATTCTGAAAATTATTAAAAATATTACAAGAAACTTTTAATATATTAATATACAATTTAATCAATTGTAATAGATGTATAGATGCTAAACATTAAGCAGTTTTTCTCTAAACAATAAAAAACAAATTATTATTTAGAGAAATAATATTAACTGGAAAAACTACAATTTATAAAATAGTAATCGTTGGTTTATTAATATAATTAAAAATATTTAATATTTTTCAGTTTTAAGCTTAGTAGATGCTGGAACATAATATTTTCATAATCACAAGTAATATATGCTAATGGCAGATGATTTTATGTAAAAGTATTTCAGTTTCATATAAAAGTAAAACATTATTACTCATTTAAAAATTGTCTTCAAAAATTATAAATCATTTTGTTAATAGGAGGAATTCATACACTTATTGGTCATTTAGTATTTAATATCATTATAGTAGAGCGTCATTTATCCGAAAGTCAATTATCCGAAAGAAATCCAGTCAGCAAATTTAAATTTTTGCCAGTGCTGTGGCACTGCAATCTTTGGCTATGTCTTGGACTACTCAAATATTTTACGTTTTTGATACTAAATTAACTTCTGAAGTATAATTTTTTATTGTTTTTATATTTTTCAGTATATTTATTTTGTTTGTACAAAATAAAAAAATAATTTTTAACGATACAATAGTCTTCATTAGGCTTAACATCGACGAAAATTCAACGTGAAGTGACACGCAATGGAGAAAAATTTCAACATGCGATAGGTTAATATATTTTTTCATACATAATCGGTTATCCGAAATATCAATTTTCTGAACAACCCCAGTCCCCAATTGATTCGGATAAACGACGCTCTACTGTATTATAAGAGTACACAAATACTGCAAAAAGCTGTCAAAAATATAATGTATTCATTTTAGAAATATATGTACATCATTGTCACAAAGACTCAGTGATTTTCAACATTTGTGAAATAACTATCAATACCATTAAAATATTATTACAGAATTTTTAGTGTTAACATGTGTCTTTATAAGTATTTGTTCATCACATTTGAATAAAAAAATTATTTTTACTCTTTAAAAAAATATGTAATAAATTCTTGTATTTGTATCAATTTCTAATTATCAGACTTTATTATCATATTGTAGACAATTTTTTTTTGATTATTAGCCAGACTAATAGAAAATTATATTTAATTTTAAATAAACACTTTCTTATTCTTTTTATATTTTATTCTGATGTTGATTTTTTTGTAGAATGCCTATAACAATAAAACTTTTAAAATAATTTTTGGCCTGTTAGTCAATAACTATGAAGAAATTAATTTATTCTAAGATTAACAAATAATGATTAAATTGTATAAAATTTTTGACATGTTTTTTCTATAATTAATTAATTTTCTTTGTAATATTTAAAATGATAATCTCTATATATATATATATAAATGGACGTGTGTGTCCCTATATTTCACTTTTCCGCCAAAACTACACATTGCACGTGAATGGTGTTTGTATGTGGTAGTAGCCCAAGTCTCCATTAGTGCACTATGGGCAGCGGCGGCCTTATCCATTGCGAGGCTCTGGGCAGCAGATCTTTGCGAGGCCCTTGTCCTTTGTGCAAANTGTTATAATTTGTTATTCTTTATAACCGCTAATAGTTTAATTGTTTACGATTATATAGTATTCTGATAATTCATACTTTAGCAATTTTATTTTTTATTTCAATTCATATTGAAAGTATAGTTCATATAGTTTTTGGAGACTTTCTGGTCTGAAGTAGTAACATGTCCAAGTTTTCTTTCAGTTTTAAAAGATATTTGTTGATGCCATTTCATTACTTTTTTTGGATTATAATTGTTTTTTACATTATTATTCCATACTAAATAATTTGTTTATTTTCTAAATTTAATTTGGATAAAGCTAAGTTTTACTGAATTTTATGATATTTAATTCTCTTATTCAATTTTTTATTATTATACTTAATCCAATGGCTGATATATATTATAAATATTAAAAAATCAATATATTAAATAATTATCATCAAAGCAATAAATGGGAACAATGCAATATATAAATTATTTTGCAATGATTCACTTGCTTTAATAATACAATATGGTTAGATGAAAGCTAAATTTTGAAATTATTTTGTAAGGACCTATAATTATTTTTAAAATTATAGTTTAATCTCATACAAAATATGTACACTTACAATTGATGTTTCTTGAAGTCGAATAGGGACCATAATTATCTCGCAAACTAAATAGTAATAATATAAGTTTTTAAATAGTGTTAAGAGATGATGAAGATAAAAGTAATTAACTGTTATATTTAAAACTTACGTAAAACAATTTTCTTCATAAATACTTTTCCAAACACGATGGGCAGATGCTCCTTTATAACCAGTGTACCTTTCAGGATTAAGCTGAAGATCAACATATTGCATGTCAATTGATGTTTCATCTGCAAACAAGTCAAAATATAAGAAATGCTTCTTCAGTATTTAAAAAAACTCATATTTCAAATAAACCAATAAATTTTTTCTAAATTAATAAATTTATTTAATTTTTAAAATTAATGTCTAATGAAATTTAAATTGAAATAGAATCTATGAAAAATCAGTTTACTTGACCAAATTAAGTTTCATTAATAACAATGCTATATTGAAATAATTGTGTGCTGTAAGAAAAAAATAATTTAATCTTTTTACTTTTTTTAACTTCTTATATCTCAAATAATTTGTATTACAAAATTCAAAATTTTATTGATACTATATTTACCAAACTTCTGAAACTTGTTTAATAAGTTAAATTATTAAAAACTAAAAACATATCATCATCTTTAAAACAGTTTTTGAATCTAAATCAGTGATTCTTGAAACTAGGGGTACAAGACTCTTCTAGAGAGACATGATGAAATTATTATTGTTTATTTTTAAGTATAACTTGCACACATACATGATATTCTATCCACTAGTGTCAATATAATATAACATTAAAAACACTAACAATATAATAATGTTAATGAAATGAAAAGTGATTAAGTTATTGTTGTGGTTATGACTATAATGTATTCATTGCATCATCAAAATTTAATTTCACTTAGTAGTAAATATCTCCATCTGCTACTTTACTTTTTGTTTGTTTGAAACATAAGTGTGTATTATCAAAAACTAAGATTGTTTTATTAGAATAAAATACAGCATAAGAAACCATTTGTATGTTTTTAGAAAAAGTGTAGAGGGTATAAGAATTTTTTATGAAACAGGGTGTTTCTTTATAATGTTTGTGAATCACTGATATAAATATTAAAATTTAAAGCCATCGATTGATCAGATCACAACAGAATAACTTCCTTTTTCCAAACAAAAAAAATTTTTTAATCAAACAAAAATGAAAAATGAAGAAAATATAGCAATCACTATGAATTCAGTGTACTCATAGTTAGAGAGTAAGGTAAACTAGCCATAATGACCATACCACAACAAGAACTAGAAAAATGAAAGGAAAACATGAATGTGATACACTTCTAATTTCTCTTCTAAGGAAATTTAGAAAATAATGAGCTTAATATTCTCCATTGTCTATAGTAGTTGTAATTGATAAAATTTTCCCCGGTGAAGCATATAAAGCTGTTTTACATGTATCAAATAATATATTCTATTGTTGAGAATAAACATCTAAAGATAAACTTTTGCTAATAAAATATATGATTAGAAATAGTCAGTTTTTTTTAAATGTTATTTTCATAAGATCCAAATAAATAATTTCTATCAGAAATTAATAATTTATAAAATTAAACAAAATTAAAACCTACCATCTAACTCACAAAAGTTTTCTTGTGCATTATCATGATGTTGCCATCTTGCAAATTCTTCTTTGTTTTCATCACTAACATAATTATTAAATTATAACTTCATTAATATTCAATTTATTCACTATTACTAAAAATAAATAATTTAATAAAATATATTTTAGTTTATAAAAATATAAGAATTACTTTTAACCAAAGCATCCTTTCTATACATAAATGTTTTTTATAGATATTACTATATTATTATTCATGAATTTATATATATTGATATGTCGTATATGTTCTCTACTTTATATATTTTCAGGACTAAATAAAATTTAAACATTGCATACAGTAAAATTATATCTGACATGTCTAATGTCTATTCAGCAAACAATACAAAAATAATTGAAGGATATAAATCTACAAAAAAATGTGCAAAAATGCTGTGAACTTTTCAGATGACTTACAAACATTCAACTTATGAACTTTCAGATTTACAAACAATATGACTATACCTTTAAAATTTAAATTTTGCATGTATTCTGAAGTTCTTTTGCCACTTGAGGGTGATCACTTAAAGTCAGTTTTTGGCCAGTATAAATAATTAATATGAGCTTATTTCTATTGTGTATCATCATTTTTTGTTTTCACTCGAATTTTGAGGTGCTCATTGCTACTCATGAAGAGGTGTTGAAGTTTGTAATGATGTCATAACAGTATTTTTCACTATTGTTTGCAACTTTTATATACTTTTATGATTAGTGCTTCAAAAATGTGTCCAAAATGCAGTAGTAAATCTAGCAGTGGATGTAAATGCAAGAAGTGTTGCTCTATTATCATGGAAACAAAACTAGAGAGTGGCATAGCGTAGTGGGGGCAGAAAAATTTCATAATAAATAATAATAATATCTTGTAAAAATTTGAACCATTTCATTTCATACTTTCGTCGCACCTACGATTCGGACCGGTTGAAATGAGCACAGAACAGTGTTACCATCAGGACAGTCCGGGAAATGACTTACTGCCCACAACCTGTTGACTTCTCTCTCTCTCTCTCTTTTTTTTTTTTTTTGCTTGTACGATTCATTCATACTCATATACACCTCCAACATCCAATACAGCTAAGTCATCTAGGTTACTTACGTTACTCCTACCCAAGTCTCCCTAGTCCTTAACTGTAACTGATTTAGAACCGGCATGCACTTCACATTATTCCTCGCATTACAAAATGACATATGTATGCATCAGGAATTTCTGTTCAAACAAACCTCACCTAATGTCCAGGTCAGCGATTTTAAAAAGGTGGCAACACTAGCATGGAATTTTTCATTACTTATTCTGTGAGGAAACTGAATTTTAGTCTTTTAAATTGAGATACCTAAATAAGGGGACGGCAAAATTTTTCTTTGCTCTGGCTGGCTGACACCCACACTACACCACTGAAACTAGATATTATAAAATAAGTGTGTTAAGTAAAATCCACATTTAAAATGTCTGCCACTGAGCAGTAGCAATTGGGTAATCAAACATAATGTATTCTATTAAGTACAGTACATTGAAGAATCATACACTAACAATAAATGATTATTCTGTGTACAAATGTACTTTCTAGGTTAGTTTCCAACTTATGAACATTTAGTGAACACTATGAACAAAGGTAGAACTAGAAACCTTAGAAACCTAACCTGTTCGTAAGTATGGGGGCACCTGTATTTACAAACATTTAATGCATTTTAAATGATTATTTAACCATGACACTTAAAAGGCCAAAATCCATAGGATCTTAGTCATATTTCATAAATATATTATATTATGTTAGTTTCACTTATTATTTTCTTTATTTCTTAGTAATGTAATGTTTTATTAGAAAAATTTTTTATTGAATTTATCTTTCAATATATTTTTATTGATAAACATATATAAATCATTTATAGATTCTATAAATTTTAAACATTAAATCAAAAATTATAATTCATTATTAAAAAAAATTTAATTTTATGAAATAACTGAATAATTGTTAAAATATATTTATTTTATCATGGTATTGCTTTCATGCCATTTCGATTTAATAATTTTTAAAAAATATACATAAATAGTGAAGAATAAAAAATCTTAATAAATATTTTTATTTTCAAAATTATACTCATTTTTTAAAATCATTCAAATTTAATGTAACAAGATTTAAAATTTTTGGTTTTAATTTTCAATAAAATAGTCAAATTACTATCTTATACATCTAAATTTTTTTAAAACAATAAAATTATCCATTTTTAAGAAACTTTTCAAACACAATGAGAAATTAAATTCAAAATGTATAATATTGAAACCGAAATTATAGTATTACATTGTAAATATCAAATTGCAATAGAATATAATGGAAATATACAAAAATGCTTAATTAAATTACTAAAACTATAGAAATTTATCACATTTAAAAAATTTTTCATTTAGTTATGTATTTATTTAAACTTATATATTTAAATTTCTAATTCTAAAACATTATTTAACAATACTTCTGTCAAAATACCTTATTGTGCTATCTACAGCCCCAAGTCCACCATGATTTTCATCACAATTATCCAGATCTTGAGCTTCTTGAGAATACTAAAACAATTTCAAAATTACTTCAAGATGTAATTTCTATACATTTTATGTATATATTTCTTTCTTAAATATAAAATTAAATATGAAAAAAAACTTTCTAAAAATATAAATTAAACTTAAAATGCAATTTTAATTATACAGATATTTTCATTAATATTAAAAGCATCTTGTTGATGATCTTTTTGTGTTATAGTTATTTTTATCCTATAAACACTCATTAAAATTCTAGTTGCACAATCAAAAATTTGTATTTAATATGTTATTAAATTTAAAAATGTAAATAAATAGTTTTTCAATTAAACTTAATACAGTAGAGCCTCGAAAACTCGGTCTAATGTGGACCGAAGGGTGGCCGAGTTTGTGAAAATGCCGGGTTATCGGGAATGGCGTTAAAAAAATAAGTACAAATGTGGAGTTCTCAGAAAATACTGTACTATACTTGTATGTATTGTTTGCTTGAGAATACAACAAAGAATAAACTGCCCAAATATCCTTAAACAAAGGAAAAGTACTGTACGTCTTTTACGAAGGCATAGAACCTTTACTACATGAAAATGAAAATTAATGAATACACTGTACAGTAATTTACCTGATAAGACAGACCTCAGAAAAATACTTTATGAGGCATAAAGCTGTCTTTATCATGAAAATTAATTAACTAAGGATTTTTTTGCCCTGCCAGGGTGTGGCCGAGTTATCCGGAGTGCCGGGTTATCGAGTGCCAAGTTTTCGAGGCTCTACTGTATTATAAAAATTTGATAATATATAAAATTAATTTAAAATATTATATATTCAGGATGATTTAATGTTTATGATTTATTTGTCATTAACTATATAACATTTTCAAGACATTCGAAAAAATAGAATATTTTGATATAAGTTAAAAATATTTCTCATAATTTAGAGAAGAGTCTAAATTATTTTTCATAATGAGAAAATTACTTCCCAAATTTTGACAAATCAAGCTTTCAAACTTCAAAAATTTAAGATAGTTTTGGAATTTTATTTCCAATATTATAGTAAATTTTAATGTTAAAAAATAAGGCCATGTTAAATATTGAGATAGAATTTGGCATGTTTTGACAAGCTGTATTAAGCTGGTTTACTGATATATGAGAATATTACTCAGTAAAAATAGTAGATCAAATATTTTTGAAATGTGAAATATTAAAAACAAAACAACAGATTAACATTAAATTTTATTATAAACTTGGGAAATATTATAGCAAACTGTCAAAATGCCCTTGCCCTAAACAATTCTTATGTTAAAGATCCAAGTTTATGAGTAGTGCAAGATATTCAAAGAAGGAAAATCAGACCATCTACAGTACATAGTATAAAAGTAACTTAGGATTTAGGAAGAAATCAGATGAGACTGTCAGTAATTAGATGATTATCAGGTCTACAATGTAGGTATTTCATGTAGATTCACACACAAGGTTCTTCATGACAACATGAAAATGCAATAACTCATTGAGTCCTCAATATCTAACAGAACCTGGCCAACAATGGATTTCTGTGTTCCCACAGTGCTGTACTCTTCTAATCTGGCCCAGCAAATTTTTCCTGTCTTCTCAAGGTTAAAAGAGCAACTAAAAGGATGTAACTTTGTGTCATTACAAGTTGAGAATGCTGCATTACATCTGACAGATGTTAAAAAAAATTTGAGGACTGCTTCTCTTCATGGCAAAAGTATGTGATAGTAAATGGTTATTATTTTGAAGAAAATATATTTTAATTATATCTACTCACACAGAAAAACTATTGTTCTTTTCCCATTTAATTTTGATTCTGCCTTGTATTAATTTAATTAGCCTGTTAATTTAATATTGACATAAATTACTATATGTTATTGTTAGAACTAAGACATTTTTTAAATATTTTTTATTACAGAGTTTGATACAAAATTTACTTGTTATTGACTAATCAATATTTATATATTGGGAGAATTTAATTTAACAGAGCATATTAGGTTCAATCAATATATGTAGAATATGGTAATTTTTTATTTTTCAAAATGACAATAAGAGATATTTTTTATAATTAGATTTGGGCATCCAGGCAGTAAAAATATATAAATATATATTATATAGTAAATTATAATTTATAATAAATCTTAAAATTTAATTTTCTTGTAAAATGATTAGGAATAACTAATTCAAATAATATATAACCAAAACCTGCTAAGAATAGAGGGTTGAGAAGAGACAATAGCTAAATACTTAAAAGCAGAAATAGACAAATGATAAGACAATTAATATTTCAAAAATCATATAAAAAATAATTTAGTCTTTTGATAAAAAAATTTTAACTGAAAAAGTTTATTTTAAATCACATTGTTGAATTTCATCATTCTGAACTTATATTCTATAAATAGAATTCATAAAAAATATATATGTTAACTTTAGTTATTTTAAAAATTCATTGCCTACCTTATTATGATGGGATTTTGGTTGATGTTGACCCTTAATTCCAGGTGGAATTTGTTCCTTGTTAAAAATAACAATAATGTATATTTTATGAGATTAGAAAATATATTTATAACTTAAACATGGAAGAAAAAAATCAGAATTCAGATTATGAATGAAAGAAATAGTAACATTAGATGATTTTATCAAATCATTTTATATCTGTATATAATTTTGATATCAAAATTTAGGCAACATATAAATTACTGTATTTTTATTATTTGCTTATCAGCCAACATACATTAAAAATTATGTTATTGTTGACTATAGGAGGTGAAAGAACATTTGATTGCACAATATATTATATTCCAATAAATCATATTATGATGCTGAACAAATATATGCTGTATGAAATTGCAAATTTTAAAAATTAATCTTTCAACTTTACTTGATATTCATAAATGGATAGTACAGTGAGAAGTTTATAACATTGACAAAATTTCATATTCTCAATTATATTTTTAAAGTAATAATAAAAATTAAAGTAAATCTTACATCAGGGCAAGTTTTCACTGAACAATCACGTATTGCACATCTGCTATCAACTTCCCAAAATGGGCAATCTCTGTTTAAATTAACCTTCAAAAAAATTTAATCATTTATGAAAAAATAAAATACTTAATACAAAAGATAATTTTAAAAATATCCAATATTAAATATATCCAACATTTAATTATTAAATTTTAATAAAATGAAATTAATATTTTTATTAAATAAAAAGGTTAAGATTGTTATTTGCAATATTATATACAATACAATATTCCATTGTAACTCTACAAAGTTACAATATTTTTGAAAGACTGTCTGCAGATTTTCAAAATAATTGATACAACAACACTGACATGAAATTTTTGCTTATTAATTGTTAAACATTGCTAAATAGTTTAAGAATTTTAAGAAATACTTTTAACAAATATATTCTTAGTATAGTAACAAATATATTTCCTTTAACTTGGTCTACAATATCATTAAATTTCTTTAAAACTGAAACTTCAAATAAATCTATTTCAATTCAGCAAGTAAAAGAATGTCGAATAGAATATAGTATTATTCCATCTTATATACTTAATGTTACTGTTTTAAAATTCAAGAGAAATAATTACTGTGAGATCCTGGGGGCAATTAATTAGTCAAATTAATTGTAACATGTAATTACCAAGTGGAAAAACCAAGATCTCCATCTGTATTTCCGTTGCCCTCTGGTCCGATAGATAAAGATGATCAAATAACCTTACAAATCAACAATCTTTAATGTTGTTTTGAGTAAGTTTCGGAGATAAATCCAAATATCTAATTATTGATAAGGAAGAACATCAAAATCAGTTAAATTATGAGGTAAGAAGAGTCAGAAAACCTGGCAAAAAGTATCAATAATCCGGCCAGGTTGTCAAATTCTTATGGCCCACTCTGGCTGATGCAATGACACATCTTGAACTTAGGACCACATCACCTGATTTTCCTTCCATGCTTAGGAGGATAAAAAGGGCTGACTTCAGAGGTTCAGGGCGGACTCCACCTAGAGGCTGGACTGAAGCTCGTCGCCACTCTCATCTTCCTTTTTGATGATGATCCAATACTACAAGAGGTCAACTGAGCGTCTACCAAAGGTAAATTGCGTAGATTGATATAAACTCTCTCCTGGTCAATATAGACTTAAGTAGATAGTCCCTCGTTATTGCTTGGGACCAAGGATAGATTTAGTATAACCAATATATTTTAGTCTGTAGTCATAGGACCAGACATTATGTTGTTTATGTCTGCATGTAACTTAGTGTATTAATTTATTGTACTCATTTAGGTTATTAAACTTTTGTTATTTGTTAATCTGGTTACTGGTCTTTACTCAGATGCCTGTCAATGTACCTGTGACTCCACCGCTTGATTTCATTTTCTAACTAGATCTTAAATGTCAATCTTTAGATGACAAATATAATCAAGAGTTAAAACACATAAATTTATCTTAACTGGTGTCAGACCTGACAGGAGAGGAAAATTCTATGATTTTCCTATCTCTGACTGTAAATAGGAGAAACTGCCATCCAGTGACAATCGAGCGGGACTTACCATCCTGATGTCAAAATAGGGTTTAGAGCTGTACTCTCTAATCCCTGGCTTCTCACGTTACTTATTTGAAAGAAAATATCATCTGTATTTGTTTTATTGTATTCAGATAGTTGTATTTGTTTATTAATAATTAAAAATTATAGATATTTTAAAATATCAATTATTTTGGAAAATCATATGCTGTATAATCATTAGAAGTAGTTTATAATGAATTCATTGTATTAATCAGTTACTAATAAAAACATTAATATATTGTTATACTGGTATGTTTATTATAAATTCGTTTTTGAAATAAAAGTAGCAACAATTAGAAATTATAATTATCAATTTACTTTAATAAATTTTAAATTATAAAATTCTTTTTGTTTGTTTTGTTAAACTAAAAAACATATCATCATCTTTAAAACAGTTTTTGAATCTAAATCAGTGATTCTTGAAACTAGGGGTACAAGACTCTTCTAGAGAGACATGACGAAATTATTATTGTTTATTTTTAAGTATAACTTGCACACATACATGATATTCTATCCACTAGTGTCAATATAATATAACATTAAAAACACTAACAATATAATAATGTTAATGAAATGAAAAGTGATTAAGTTATTGTTGTGGTTATGACTATAATGTATTCATTGCATCATCAAAATTTAATTTCACTTAGTAGTAAATATCTCCATCTGCTACTTTACTTTTTGTTTGTTTGAAACATAAGTGTGTATTATCAAAAACTAAGATTGTTTTATTAGAATAAAATACAGCATAAGAAACCATTTGTATGTTTTTAGAAAAAGTGTAGAGGGTATAAGAATTTTTTATGAAACAGGGTGTTTCTTTATAATGTTTGTGAATCACTGATATAAATATTAAAATTTAAAGCCATCGATTGATCAGATCACAACAGAATAACTTCCTTTTTCCAAACAAAAAAAATTTTTTAATCAAACAAAAATGAAAAATGAAGAAAATATAGCAATCACTATGAATTCAGTGTACTCATAGTTAGAGAGTAAGGTAAACTAGCCATAATGACCATACCACAACAAGAACTAGAAAAATGAAAGGAAAACATGAATGTGATACACTTCTAATTTCTCTTCTAAGGAAATTTAGAAAATAATGAGCTTAATATTCTCCATTGTCTATAGTAGTTGTAATTGATAAAATTTTCCCCGGTGAAGCATATAAAGCTGTTTTACATGTATCAAATAATATATTCTATTGTTGAGAATAAACATCTAAAGATAAACTTTTGCTAATAAAATATATGATTAGAAATAGTCAGTTTTTTTTAAATGTTATTTTCATAAGATCCAAATAAATAATTTCTATCAGAAATTAATAATTTATAAAATTAAACAAAATTAAAACCTACCATCTAACTCNTTAAATATTTAAAATTAAAATAATTTAATGGAAAGTATGACAATGTCCTGGCTAACTTTATAAATCCTTAATTTGGTTTATAGATTATATTTCTCTGAAAGCATAGCTCTGTTTTTTCAAGTATTTTTTTCTAATCTATATTGACTTTTTGTAGCTATTAAATTAATTTTGATCAATGTTTTAAATCACTAAAATATATTAAAAAATATCAAATAATCTAATTGCAAAATACTAGGAAAACTCAAGAGAAATTAATTTCAAATGTGCTGTCGTTTATAAAAATACAAGGTGTGACAATTAAATTCCAGGAATGGGGTAATAAAAGGACATAAAGAACATATAATGAAAAACTCTTTTAATATGTTTCAAAGTAATCCCCCTGGAGGACAATGCACTTCTCGCAGTGCTTGTACAAGTTCTTGAAACACTTGGCATAGTCACTTCCATTGACAGCTCTCAATTCCTTGGTCACATTGTGCTGTATGTCTTGCAGATCGTTGAATCTTCATCCGTTCAATGTGATTTTGATTTTTAGAAACAAAAAATAGTTGCAAGGCGACAAATCTGGTGAGTATGGAGGGTGGTTCAACTCCACAATGCCAAATTTGACCAAAAACCCCTTGACAACAGTCGCAGTGTGCGGGCGGGCATTGTCGTGCAGCCTGGTTAGGCCTGAGCAAGAGGAAGCTGGATACTGATCTAGCTTCCTCTTGCTCATGCCTAACCTGATGAGTTGTCTCCAGATTGATACCAGTTGTCTCTATCATCCAAATAGACATTCAACAGTCATATCGCAGCAAGTCTCTGATTTTTTCGATGTTTTCTGGTGTTCGAACTGATTGAGGTCATCCAGGGCGAGCATCGTTCTTCCCAACCATCCCTGAAACACGCAAACCACTCGAAAACATGAGAGCGGGATAGGGAGTCATTTCCATAAACTTGCTTGATGAGGGCATACATCTCTGTTGCACTTTTACCCAACTTGTAACAAAACTTAGTGTTCACTTTTTGTTCCATGACAAAAACGTGACAGCACTTTCTCACAGTAATATGTGAATGGAGTACAGAAAAAGAACGAGTTATGAGACACAAATAAATCTTTGCAGACAAGTAGCCAGATGGTTGAACTATTATGACAAGCTTAGACAAGTTTCTGCACACTGACACTGCAGCGCTACATGACCAGTCCTGGAATTAAATTGTCACACCTTGTATAATCATGGAAATCTTAAATTATTGCATTTATGCACAACTGTGAAAAAGGAACATCTGTATCTATTGATATCAATAGCAAATATATACAGTAATTATAACATAACATGACAACGATAGGTAATAATTTTTGATAGACGTAAATCATTTCAACCATGTAACATTTTCTATTGCCATAATTATTTAAAATAGTAAACAGTAAACATTTTTAAAATCAAAATAATATGACAATTAAACTGTTTTTAAAATGTCATATGAAACAACAGAAAAACTAGGATAAATTTTATAATAAATTTAATCATACCTTGATTTTTTATGACATTCATAATTGCATCTTTTGTATTTGATGATTTTTATTTTATGAACATGCTATTCAAACAAATTATATAAAACTATTCCTAATTTATTTATTATCTGCTCTCCATAATTGTNATAATTTAGAAATTAAATAATATTTACAATTCTAACAAACAGTTTATAATTAACGTGTTTGTTTTCATATAAGTATTTTTTGGCACAAATATGTGAATCACATCAATTCAATAGCTATGGACAATTAAAATGATTCAACAAAGGTACTTAATAGTAGCAAATGAAAATATCGTTTATTAATGCTTTTAATTCATAACACAAATTTTTGTTATAGTGGTTTTTGTTTAAATTGATTGCACATTATAAACAAAAAATTGAAAATTGATTTTATAAGTATTTAAAATTTTCAAAAAGATTATGTTATGGTGTAGCATTAAAATGAAAGTATACAGGCAAAAGAGGACAAAAATAAGGCTGTGGAGTGTAAATAAATAATTTTTTAAAAATTATTCAAACTGCTGGATTTGTATCAGGCTATATTATGATTATATTAGAAATAAATATATTTAATTTAGAATATTCTAAAAGAAAAATAAGATGAAAAGATTGGC